AGACACGGGTCACGACGAGGTGTTCCCCATAGCGACCCCTAGAGGACGCAGTTCGAAGTTCCCATGAAAGGGAATCTACACTACAAGCGACCATCGCATCTCGACAAAACAAGATCTGTCCCACTATGTTCAGTGAAATTGTCTACATTGCAAGTGACCGAAAGCACTGACGTGAAGATATGGAACAGTCCAAGTGTGAGCTACATCTATTTATAGACCTGTGGTAAAACAGAAGAGAAACTGGTTTTATTAAGTAAACAATTCTCATTTCCATATGAAAAAAGTGTGGGCTTATTATAATGTTGAACTGGCTTTCTGGTCATAATGCTTGCCACAGACTCCCCATACACAACAGGCACATAATAGTTTTATTAACAAATGTACCACCTAAGCACAATAAACATGGTAAACCTCTTTCTGTCTACCACAGGTTGAACAATGGCAGTATGGCACTGATAGCTGTTGGAAACACCTCCAGGTCAGACTTCACCAAGCACTTGAAGAGATACAACAGCACAAACAACCAGGTGAGCTCACCTGCCTACTGAGGGAACTTACTGAACTCACATCAGCCAGACTTGCAGGAAATCCAGCCCACGCAAATGGAGTTAACAACCTCCCCAGCTTAAGCAGAATTAGCATACTGTCAAGTCAAATTAGTCGTTGATTGTCAGCTTCCCACAAAATACTTTTCAGGCTAATACAGATTAGCCTATTTTAGAGCCTGTCTCTTCCTTTTTCTTAAGCAATCCAATCTAGAGTTGTTTGTTAACCCACATTCTATAAATAATCTGTGTATAAATAATAGGTTGGCATTGACCTACTGCTTCTGCTCTTCACTCTCGTGTGAGATGTCATTGTGCCGCAGAGTAAAGCGATGTCAGGGTTTCTGTGCTGTACTATTGGGCCTTTATTGCCCATTTTAAAAGAGCTTGTGTGTGTTCACCTCATTTACATGTAGGAGCCAAGTGTATTTGAACTGTGGTTGAATCTGGAAAAAAAAAAGTCTCATGCCTCAAGAAATTTATTAAAATTTAGTCTATTTTTAAAACTTGCAAAACATAAATAAAAAATAAAAACATTCTCATTTCAGTACTGTGAAAAAATAATATGTATTATTTAAATTTTTTAATATTTATATATCATGGTAGTATTTTTTAAACAATTTAAACATGAGTTGAAAATTCATTCTAATAAATTAATGTGTATCAGCATTGGGAATTTAAAAAGTCAAAAAGGGGAAAAACTCAAATATGAAACGTCATTTACTTTCACTTTAATATGCATTATGGTAATGAGAAAATGTGCTTAATTATATGCTTAGATATATATATATATATATATATATATATATATATATATACATACATGAGAAAAATTCCATTCTCTCTCCTTTTCTCTATAACAATGCATAAATGTATCTAATTAAGAATTTGATAGAAAAATGATCAGTCCAACGATCAGACTGGATACTATTAGAAAAATCTGCACAGCCATCACAGGCTTATTGCTGTACAGAGCCTCCAAGAACACCTGAAATATTGCAAACATTCAAGTTCAACAATATTTAGCAAATCCAGCATCTCATCATGTATTCCTGGCATTAGAGGTTCAGACTACTTACTCTAGCAGAAACATCATCCTGTAGTAGGATGGTGTTGGCATTCTTTACTGGTGAAATGAGGTCAATCATGCCTTGTATCATCATGACAGCATGTCTTCCCTATAGGAAATAAACATATTAAAGGTCATGTGTTTTAGTTGTTCTTTTAAATATAAAATTCAGGTAATCCATCTGCCAAACAATGGTTGGTCCATATTATTTTTCTCTTCTCTAACAAATACTCACTGGACTCATCTGGAGAACCCTAGGGTTGAGCTCCACTTCCATAGTGATGGTAACTTCCTTCCCAACCTCCAAGTCACCAAAGTGACACTCCATCATCCTACAGGTCTTATCTTCAGGACCACAGAACTGCAGAACAACATCGAGTGAGACCTTCTCATAACAATCACACTAAACGCACCATAACTCAATACTACGACAATTATTTTACCATTATGCGCTTGCTTTTTGGGGAGAAAAAGAATACAAGTTCTTGAATAATGGAAGCTTCAGGGATGTCACAGTCATCAATAATCTGAACTGTATTGTTCCTCTGGAAGCAATGCCCAAGAGTTGTCTGCAAGACAAAAAACAACTTAAGTTTACTTAAGTTTAAGTAAAGAAAAATATGTGCACATATAGATGCATAGCATATATTATAAGCTAAGTTATAGGCACTGTTAGGAATAGTTTTGTGTGTTTCTTCTGTGAATAAAGCCAGAGATGTCTGGCAGAATATCTGAACTTCAGCTTTCCTTAAAAGGTAAGCAGATTGTGATTTATACTACCAAGCTCCAAAAAGAATAATAAAGCACCATAAATAATATAATAAATCATGAAGTGCTATATCTGCCGTCTTCTGAGGTTGAACAACAGCTCTGTGTTAGGAACCGATTAAATTTAAGCCATTGTCTACTAATAATCTTCCAAATCATGACATGTCTAGTTTTGCAAACTCGACACGTCATGATTTGTCACATGACATGCAAGAACCAATGCAATTTGGCCTCAATGATGTCAAATGTGCCATGAAGACACTAAAGTTGATCTTACACCGTAAATCGCCATCCACTTCATCCCATTTTATCCACATTCATTGTTTCAAAAGCAGAAGCACAAACATTCTGCCTAACATCTCATTTTGTGAAAGAAAAAAATAAATGGCATGACAGTAAATAAAGACTATTTTAATTTTGGGGTGAACTATTCCTTTAAAATACTGTATATAATATACAGTACACCAGTTAAGATTCACTGTAAGGTATGATTTTATTTATTTATTTTTTTATTTTTTTATTTTAACAGTCTCTTATGCTCAACAAGACTGTTTATTTGATCAAAGATACAGTAAAAACACTAATATTGTGGAATATTACAATTTAAAATGTTTCTATTTTAATATATTTTAAAATGTAATTTATTCCTATGATGACAAAGCTAAATTGTCCAAAAACAAACAAAAACAAGATTCATTTATTATTATTATTATTATTATTATTATTATTAATCGATGTTGAAAACAGTTATGCTGCTTAATATTTTTGTTCAGTATTCTTTGATTAACAGAAAGTTAAAAATTACCAAATTTTTTATAGAAATCTTTTGTAACATTATAAATGTCTTTACGGTCACATTTGATCAGTTTAATGCATCCTTGCTGAATAAAAGCATTAATTTCATTCATTCAGAAACAATCTTACTGACCCCAAAGGAATATTTGCATATGTAAACCTCACCTGTAAATCGGTAATCCTGATTAGCTGGTATCTGTATGGCACCAGCATCAGAGGCAAGCTGATCTTTACTCTCGCATCAAGAGCTTTACTAGGACCCATATTTATCATCTGTAAGTTAATAGACATTTTAACAAAACAAACCATGTCAAATGATTCATTAGTGCTTAATGACACTGTTGTCTGTCTGATGAGCGCTAAAATACCTTGTACGTATAATTGAACTTCTCAGGATAGCAGTCGACCGGCACAGACTCTTGTTCTCCAATCAGAAATGAAGTCGGGGAGACAAATCTGCAGAGGAGAGACGAAGAGAAGCATCCTGTAATTTGGCCTGCTATTCTTCCGACATCTATGGATTCAAATTCATAAGCAAAACAGATAACTTACGCGTGAACATTGAGGTCAACTGCATATCTCAAGGGCAGCGTAAGAACGGCCACGTTGTCGTGCTGAAGATCTGTGTTCTCAAAGTTCTCGCTGAAAAACACACATTGGATTGGTTTACATTCACTACTGAGGAAAGTTAAAAATGCATAAATGCAAGAAAATGGCTCATAAAAGGGTGAAGTTAGTTCTGAGAAAAGCATTTATTTGCAGATGTAACCCCTCTCTCCCGGGTCCTCACCGCCACACCTCGTTCTGAGTGGGTCTCCGGCATGGGAGGCGGACGCACTAACAAGGAGGCTAAAGACTGCAGCCACTAGCGTCAGTCGCTAGTGCGTCTCTTGAGATTAGGGAAGTGAGGTTTACCTGCACAGCACCTACCGCTGGCTTCCGTTACACAGACACCACTTAGTTTGATATTGTCCTAGCTAATGAAATGACATGTTAAGTGCAGTGTCCAACTGCTTTTTGGGGTCATTGTATACTTTGAAAAGATCTTTCTATGAGAGGAAATGTTTAATGAGTTTAATTATTGGAGTACAACCCTGATATACCCAGAGATTTCATTATAGGAACTCATTACATAGGCTATGTAGGCATCCTTAGATCCACTGCTTTTCTTGCTTCTAACAGTAACACTGAAAGCACACAAAACCTTTGAGCGTGCTGTTTAATGCTTTTGTTTGTCTTTTGCATTCTGATCTTAATTTACAACCGTAAGCAGTAGCGAGATGCTCTCCACAGACGTTTACATTTGGCTCAGATGTCTTTGCATTTGTGTAAACCATCCATTGTAATGAATTCCTCAGATCTGGGGCTGAGATCTCTGGTTCTCTTACCTCGTGGCATTGATGTTAATACTAAGGTTCCCCACGCTGCTGTTCTGCATCACATCTAGTAAAAAGGTGATGTTGATCTGGAAGAAAGCAAAGAGATGTTTATATGGTGACAAACAAACTCATTTATCTTCCACTGCTAAAGACATTTACCTTTGAGAAAGGGGGGATGTATAAATTCCCAACATTGCAGTCCAGTCCGATGGCCACTTTATTCTCCTCTGCGATTTCACAGCTGATGTATTTATCTTCCTTAAATAATATCACAAATATTAAAGCACATCAAAGGCAATTAAAGGGCATTCAGCAATGCAACGTGCTAAAAGCTGGCTGTCAGATATCTAAGACAGACCCGAACAAAATGAGGAATTACTGCGACAAAATTAAATGACCTCCAGCACTTTGATGAAATGCAGGTTGCTGGGAAACCTCAGGTAAAGTTTGGGTAGAAAAGCATCATCTCCAATGTTGACCAGTGTGGTGTTTAACATGATGCTTTTTCCATTACCCAGAGCAAAGTATGGCATGTTCCTGTAGGACCTATTGGGAAAACAGTTATTTAAAATATAAATGAATCAGTTTCTATTCATTTTATAAATAAAGCATTTTAATCCATATTTAATCCATTAATTAGTCAGTATAATTTAGTGCGGATTAACACAGAGTGAAGAAACGTTTCAGAAAATAATAATAATAATAATAATATTTTATTAGGGATTAAACAATTTCAAACACAGAAAATCTTACACTTACACATAAATATTACACAATATTTTAAAAACTGCCAAATGAAGGAAGAACAATATCAAATAGAAAAAAATATACATGAACAGAATTGTTGTAATTTAGAAAAAGTGTAACTTAAAGTTAGCATTTATATTTATTTATAATTATATTTATATAATTATACCCTGTGCAATATTTGTTTACAAAGCCTTAAAATAATTTGTATTTCTCTAAGATCAGTCTAAATAAAATAAAAACATTTTTTTTCTAAAGTATAAATTAAGCTCACACTCTAAAAAATGCTGGGTTAAATACAACCCAGTGCTGGGTAAAATAGGGACAAACCCAGCAATTGGGCTGTTTTGACCCAGCGGGTTAAACATTTAACCCAACCGCTGGGTCAAAACAGCCCAATTGCTGGGTTTGTCCCTATTTTACCCAGCACTGGGTTGTATTTAACCCAGCATTTTTTAGAGTGCACATGGTTACATAAATAAAACTAAAATTTTAATTGTTAATCAAATCAAATGATGTGTATGACAATTAAATACTAAGCCAAAATTTCACAATCCTTAGCATAAGTTACTAAATTGAACATATTGTGGTGCAAAACACAAAAATTCAGTGTCACTGCTACTTTAATCAGTTCCTTGCAATCAATTCCTCTCCATTTCATCCTATTTTAAAAATGTAATTTGAAATAAAGATAAGCACAAATAAAATATTTTTCTGATCAATCAATTAACTAAACTGTCACTTGTGAAAATTGTTTTTAAAACAGTAAAAAATGCTTTTAATCGTTTATGTTAATTTTAAAATATTTTCAAGACTCATTATTGCAGAATTTAATGGGGAAAAGAGCCAGTATTTTTCTGCATGTGTTTGTGTGGCTTGTGCAGTGAGGGCTCAAGCCTGATGTTTTTCATCTAAAGGCACCAGGTGCATCTGGGAGAGTGACAAGACACTCTCCCCCTCACACTCTTTCTCTCTGTCTCTCTCTTACACACACACACACACACACACACAAGCCTTATGAATAATCAGATCATGCATTATCACCAATGGGTGAGGGGGTTCCATAAATTAGTTTGCATACGGCTGCAAACATGATCCAAAATGGTAATGTGCACACTCACGCTTTCGCCTCAATTGGGCAAGTCCAAGAAACGTGATGCATAAAATGCATCGATATAAAGCTTTGGCTACTGTGCATGCTGGTTTAATGGGTGAATTCATGAGGAGAGCAGATAATCTCTAAAGCCCTCCTGTTAGTCACGAACAACACCAGCACAACTAGAATATTTACAGAGGTCTGTAGTTGCTTACTATGCACTTGAAAAGAAAAACAAGTCAATAAAACTATAATTATTAAAGCTTAAGCTGTTGTATAACCGTACACATTTACAACATATATAAGATTGCTATCAGTTATTCACAAAAATGTTACTCCCTCTGAAAAAATACAGTTGGGTAAATCATCAAAAAAAAAAAAAAATCAATAAAAAACAAATTCATGAAGCACATTTTAGGATTGTTAAGATGCTATGCATTGTGACATTATAAATGACATTTGTTACTATAATAAAAAATTTCCTCCACAATTCTCATTACAACAGTGAAAAAAAATTTAATTAGCTTCACTGAAATACTGTGAGGTATAAATCAGGATGTCTGGATGCAATATATTATTTTAATTGTTTTTCTTTTGTCTTTTTCAACGAAAATCAGCATCAATTAATTTTAAACTACTTCCATGACATATACATGCAATAGTAGTTTTAAATTAATTTAAATAATATTAAATAATGTTTATAATAATTATGTAAATAAATGTAAATAATAATTATTATTTTACAGTAATCAGAATGAGACATATATATTTTTTTGCATTACAAAGGATTTGGGAGCAAAAAAGTGCATTTTCTAGGAAAATAACATGGCTGCACAAAATCTAAGTGGTCTTAAAACCAGCTTAATTTAATTTATTCATAATATTTTTCCATTTAATTTTGTAGTGTTACATGCAACAATTTCCGAGAGATTCAACCAGTTAGCGTAGGTTATGTGTTGATGACTTACTGCGGTAAAACGAAATGAGCAGAAACCTGCAGGTTGGTTGAGCAGTTTTCCCAGGAACAATATCTGGCAAAGATGGTCTACAGAAAGATAGAAAGATTCCAAATCAAGACACATAGTGACCTATAATGAGGTTAAAAATGTGGCCACAGAAGCTAACCACAATAACAAAACAAAGATGGAGAAATAGAGAAAACCTGACCTTGTTTTTCACGACATTGGCCTGTTCATCCTTCTGCTGTAGAATGGGTTTGAGAGAAGGCAAGCCCCCTGAGTCCCTCTGTTGCACACGGTGCTCTCCAAGTTCATATTTCACCTCAAAATGGATGGGTGTGAAGATATCCCAGACGTCTTTCTGCACACATGAGAAAAAGAAAAAAAAAATTTTTAACAAGATGTTCTAAAGAAAATGACTGGTGCTTGTCAATCCAAAAAATTAACCACCACAAATGCTAGGATGTAGTGGGTGGTTGCCAAGGTGTTCCGATATGGTTGCTAAGGGGTTCAGAGTCTCCATTTACCGCTGATTACAGAAGTGGCTTTACTGACAAGATGCGCATTAAATATCGCATGCGATTTATCGTGCAGCCCTAATATATATATATA